CCATGAATTGAATCCTTCCCTTTGCTATTAATCAACCCTCGTTCTTCCCAAATCTTTCTAAAAGTGTGCACTATTCCAAAAGTATACTTAGTTCCTCTCTGTTTCTCCAACAATTTTAAAGCTTGATTTAATGCATACAATTCACAAGTCTGTGCAGACCAACTAAAAGGCAACTTTCCTGCTTCTACCAAAACTTCTTCTCTTCCTTCTACTATTGCATATCCATTTCTCCTCTTCCCTTCTACCACTCTGGAGGACCCATCTATAAACAAATTAGCACCTTCTCCCAGAGCAACATCTGTTAAGTCAGCTCTAACTCTAGTCTGTAATTCAATTACTTCAACACAACAATGTTCAATATCTGTTCCTTCTTCTAAGTCTCCTCTTAAAAATTGAGCTAGATTCAAACTAACATCAGTAGTCAATACTAGATCATTCTGTTTCATAAGTATACTCTCATATTTTAAAACCCTTGAGTCTGTCAGCCTTCGGCTGGCTTTCTGGTTCAAGATTGCCCTCATTTGATGGGGGGGGGGTGGTAACCACCAAAGCTCCCCCAAATGTCAGTTTTCTGCTCTTTACTAACACTGCTGTGGCCGCCACCGCTTGAACACAGTCCGGCCATCCTCGACAGACAGGATCTAACATTTTTGACAAAAATGCCACTTGCTGCCTCTTTCCTCCCCACTTTTAGGTCAAAACCCCCAAAGCTATTCCTTCAATTCTCTCAGGTGTTACTCTTCTACTTCTTTCACTAATCAATAAATCAGTGTGTCCTGCACACAAATATAAAGACATAAAAAAATAAAGAAAAAAAGCAACTTCACACACACATGGAGTGTATGAGATTCTCAGTCATCTAGGTCATGGTTGTCCCAAAGGTGCTTTTTCAGGAGGCAACTGGACTTTCTTGTGTTTCTTTTGAAGACGTTTCGCTTCTCATCCAAGAAGCTTCTTCACCTCTGACTGGATGGTGGGGCGTGGAAGGATTTACTCCCACCAGTTGCCTCCTGAAAAAGCACCTTTGGGATTCCCTCATGCAGTTTCCCCCTTTATGGATTACTGCCTTGTCGTGACAAAATGTGATCCACTGGAGAAGGAAATGGCAAACCACTCCAGTATCTTTGCCATGAAAACCCCATGGACAGTACTAAAGGGAAAAAAGATATGACGCTGGAAGATGAGCCCCTCAGGTCGGAAGGTGTCCAATATGCTACTGGGGAAGAGCAGAGGGCTAGTACTAGTAGCGCCAGAAAGAATGAAGCGACTGGGCCAAAGCCGAAAGGACGCTCAGCTGTGGATATATCTGGTGGTGAAAGGAAAGTCCGATGCTGTAAAGATTTTTTCTCCATAGGAACCTGGAATGTAAGATCCATGAATCAAGGCAAGCTAGACGTAGTCAAAAAAGAGATGACAAGACTGAACATCGACATCTTAGGAATCAGCGAACTAAAATGGACAGGAATGGGTGAATTTAACTCAGATGACCATCAGGTATACTACTGTGGGCAAGAATCCCTCAGAAGAAATGGAGTAGCCTTCATAGTCAATAAAAGAATAGGAAAAGCAATACTGGGATACAATCCCCAAAATGACAGAATGATCTCAATTCGAATCCAAGGCAAACCATTCAATATCACAGTAGTCCAAATCTATGCCCCAACCACTGGTGCTGAAGAGGATGAAATTGACCGGTTCTATGAAGCCCTACAGCACCTTATAGAATTAACACCAAAAAATGATGTCCTTATCATCATGGGGGATTGGAATGCTAAGGTAGGAAGCCAAAAGATAACCGGAATAACAGGCAAGTTTGGCCTTGGAGTACAAAATGAAGCAGGGCACAGGCTAATAGAATTTTGTCAAGAGAATACGATGGTCATAAAAACACTCTTTTCCAACAACCCAAGAGACGGCTCTACACATGGACATCACCAGACGGTCAACATAGAAATCAGATTGACTATGTGCTCTGCAGCCAAAGATGGAGAAGCTCTATACAGTCAGTAAAAACAAGACCAGGAGCTGACTGTGGCTCAGATCATGAGCTTCTCGTTGCAAAATTTAGGCTTAAATTGAAAAAAGTAGGGAAAAGCACTAGGCCACTCAGGTATGAACTAAATCATATTCCTGATGAATATACAGTAGAGGTGACAAATAGATTTAAGGAATTAGATCTGATAGACAGAATGCCTGAAGAACTATGGATGGAAGTTCGCAACATTGTACAAGAGGTAGCAACTAAAACCATCCCAAAGAAAAAGAAAGGCAAGAAAGCAAAATGGCTGTCTGAGGAAGCTTTGCAAATAGCTGAGGAAAGAAGGGAAGCGAAAGGCAAAGGAGAAAGAGAAAGATACACCCAATTGAATGCAGAATTCCAGAGAGTAGCTAGAAGAGATAAGAATGCCTTCTTAAATGAACAGTGCAAAGAAATAGAAGAAAACAACAGAATAGGGAGGACCAGAGATCTCTTCAAGAAAATTGGAGATATGAAGGGAACGTTTCATGCAAAGATGGGCATGATAAAGGACCAAAATGGCAGAGACCTAACAGAGGCAGAAGAGATTAAGAAGAGATGGCAAAACTACACAGAAGAACTATACAAGAATGAGCTTAACATCCCAGATAACCACAATGAGATGGTCATTGACCTCGAACCAGACATCCTAGAATGTGAAGTGAAATGGGCCTTAGAAAATCTGAGCAACAACAAAGCTAGTGGAGGTGACAGTATTCCAGCTGAGCTATTCAAAATCTTAAAAGACGATGCAGTAAAAGTGCTACACTCAATTTGCCAGCAAATTTGGAAAACTCAACAGTGGCCACAGGATTGGAAAAGGTCAGTTTACATTCCAATTCCAAAGAAAGGCAATGCCAAAGAATGTTCAAACTATCGCACCATTGCACTCATTTCACATGCTAGTAAAGTTATGCTTAAAATCCTACAAGCTAGACTCCAGCAGTATGTGGATCGAGAACTACCAGAAGTACAGGCAGGATTTCGAAGAGGCAGAGGAACTAGAGATCAAATTGCCAACATACGCTGGATCATGGAGAAAGCTAGGGAGTTCCAGAAAAACATCTACTTCTGCTTCATTGACTATGCAAAAGCCTTTGATTGTGTGGATCACAACAAATTGTGGCAAGTTCTTAAAGAGATGGGAGTACCAGACCATCTCATTTGTCTCTTGAGAAACCTATATGCGGGTCAAGAAGCAACAGTGAGAACCGAACACGGAACCACTGATTGGTTCAAAATTGGAAAAGGAGTCCGGCAAGGCTGTATACTGTCGCCCTGCCTATTTAACTTATATGCAGAGCACATCATGAGAAAGGCAGGGCTAGATCAATCAAAAGTTGGAATTAAGATTGCCGGGAGAAATATCAACAACCTAAGATATGCAGATGATACCACTCTAATGGCAGAAAGTGAAGAGGAACTAAAGAGCCTCTTGATGCGGGTGAAGAAGGAGAGTGCAAAAGTTGGCTTGAAACTCAACATTAAGAAAACCAAAATCATGGCATCCGGCCCTCTCAATTCCTGGCAAATAGATGGGGAAGAAATGGAGGTAGTGACAGATTTTATTTTTCTGGGCTCCAAGATCACCTCAGATGGGGACTGCAGCCAAGAAATTAAAAGACGCTTGCTCCTGGGGAGGAAAGCTATGGCAAATCTAGACAGCATTCTAAAAAGCAGAGACATCACCCTGCCAACAAAAGTGCGTATAGTCCAGGCCATGGTTTTCCCAGTTGCAATGTATGGCTGTGAAAGTTGGACCATAAGAAAGGCTGAGCGCAAAAGAATTGAGGCCTTTGAACTATGGTGCTGGAGAAGACTCCTGCGAGTCCCTTGGACTGCAAGGCGTTCAAACCGGTCGGTCCTAGAAGAGATCAACCCCGACTGCTCTTTAGAAGGCCAGATCCTGAAGTTGAAACTCAAATACTTTGGCCACCTAATGAGAAGGAAGGACTCACTGGAGAAGGGCCTAATGCTGGGAAAGATTGAGGGCAATAGAAGAAGGGGACGACAGAGAATGAGATGGCTGGATGGAGTCACTGAAGCAGTAGGTGTGAACTTAAATGGGCTCCAGAAGATGGTAGAGGACAGGAAGACCTGGAGGAATGTTGTCCATGGGGTCGCGATGGATCGGACACGACTTCGCAATTAACAACAACAACAACAACATGCAGTTTCAGGGACAATAGCAGTGGGTTCCCGGTCAGCTGGCAGAGATGCCTCTTTGGTATTTTGATTGCTCCTACCAGATTTTCTCGGATGTGAAAGAAGTTTAGTCTGGCCTTGGGTAGGGGAGGAGAATGTAAATTCAGTGGTCTTTTGTTTTTATTGGCTTAATTCTGTTTGTTTTGTCTGAAGCGCGGACTCCGCTTCTCGCTCCATTCCTGCGGCTTGTCAGCTACGATGTATCCGCTTGCAGAACGCTCTTAGCCGCTCGCCCAGGACAGGCTTTTCCTCTCTCCTAGCCTCCGGCAATGGGTGGTTCTTTTTCTTCCAAGGCTTTTGTTAATTGGTTTGGTTTCTATCTGGAAGGAAGGAAAGGCTGCTCTTTCCTTTTCTGGGGACAGGGGGGTCGTGATTCTTTTTGCACCACTCTCAGCCCTAGGCAGGAGGCGATGGCAAGCCACTCCTGAAAAACTTTGCCAAGGAAACTGCAGAGACTAGAAACAAATCTTTCCTCCTCCTTCAGTTTCCCTTTCCCATTTCCTCCGGTTCAGGTCTTGGCTTTTTTCTCATCTTCCCTGCCGGTTTCTCCACCCTTCTGGAAGGACTTTATTTCCCTCAGCAGACGACGTCTGTGGAAATTATAAATTTTCCCTCAGGGCCGCCTCCCGCGCTCCCCTTTCCTCCGCCTCACTGCCCTTCCTCTTCCCGCCTGGCGAGGGCGCTGAGAGGCAGCGGGCGGGCCGTCCTGGCCAGAAGGCAGCGCGGGGGGGCGTAGCCCCGCCCATCGCAGGAGCGGCTGATTGGGGAGCAGCGGGCGCGAGGACCCCTGGGGGCGTGGTCAGCATCAGCAGCACCGCCGCTCCTTCCTCCAGCGACTCCAGCAGCCATGCCGGCCTTCGTGGTGTCCACCAATATCCCGCGGGACGCGCTGCCCGAGGGGCTGCTGGCCGAGCTCACCGAGGAGCTGGCCAAGGCCACGGGCAAGCCGGCGCAGGTGAGGGGCGGGCGGGGCACGTGGGGGCTCTGGGCGCGGGATGAGTGCCCCCCTCCATCCATCTCTCTCTCCTCCCTCCAGTACGTCTCCGTGCAGGTGAACCCGGACCAGGTGATGTCCTTCGGGGGCTCCAGCGCGCCCTGCGCCATCTGCAGCCTCCACAGCATCGGCAAAATCAGCGCGCCGCAGAACAAGGCCTACAGCGCCATGCTGAGCGCGCTCCTGGCCAAGCGCCTGCGCGTGCCCGCCGACAGGTAAGGGGCGGGGCGGTGGGCGGGCGGGCCTCCTCCGTCTCTCCCTCTCTCTCACTCGATCCCGCTTCCCCCCCCCCTCTCCGCAGGGTCTACATCAACTTCTACGACATGGCCCCGGCCAACGTGGGATGGAACGGCTCCACCTTCGCGTAGCGACGCCGTCGCGGCCGCCCGGGGGAGCGGGGCGGGGCGGGGCGGGGGGGGGGCAATAAAGAATTCCGAACAGTCGCCCTGGCTGTGTCTTTACTTGCGCGCGCGCGGAGGGGCAGGGCCCTGAGCGCCTTGCTGACCTCATCGGGACGCGCCGCCGGCTTAAATGGCGCTCTTCGCGGTCCGCAGGTGAGGCCGCGTGGTTTGGGCGCTGCGCTGGGCTGGCTGGCCGAACGGAACAGGGTGGGAGGGAGGCTGCTGGGGCTCCGGAGCGGGTTTGTTGGGTCCTATGAGGAGTTCCTGGGGGGCTGGTAGCGGTCGTCTGAGCGGTTCGCGCCGGCGGCGCTTGTTCGTTTACTCGGCCACTGGCGCCCGTCGAATTGAGCGCGGGAACAACCCTGTAAGAGGCCTCGGACGTGCGCCATTTAACATCCCTTGAGGGCAAGTTAAGCGGTTTAAAGCGATGGAGGTAGGAAACGGTAACCCAAAAGGCGCACTGCCTGTGCCGGACTCGAGAGATTAAGAAACGGGCAACGCCTTCAAAATCTCCGGAATGTCCCTAGCCGATGGGGGGCGGTGAAAACGGTGTAAGCAAAAACCCGAACTCTGGTCATTAAGCGAGTGAGTTAAGGCAAGCTTTAAAAACAAATCCAATTTGTTAACGGAGGAAGCGGTTGGCATAAGAATATTCAGATGTTCTGTAGTAACATGTGTAACAGCATTTTTAGTGCCGCTATCGCACCTCTGATCTCTTGAGCGCTGATAAAATCTCTCCTATCTTAAGAGTTACAAAATTTCCATCGGTCAATTGTAAAAGGCAAAAGGCCCCACGGCTGAATCCGCGTATGTAATACGCCCGTTACGACATTCTAGGTCAGTGGTTCTCAACCTGTGGGTCGGGACCCCATTTGGGGTCCAACGACCATTTCACAGGGGTCGCCAAACAAGGCTGTCCACCATTTTTCTCCCCTTTTCTTTGGCCACGCCCCTGGCACCCGGTGATGTATAAGTGGTTGGGGGTCACCACAACATGGGGAACTGTATTATGGGGTCGCGGCATTAGAAAGGGTGAGAACCACTGTTCTAGGTTCTTGGGAGGATCTCAATGCAAATGAAGGCTGACACCAGCTAAAGAACTGGCACCAGCGATTACATGTCATGTACATAATAGTGATCCTCCAAGCTGGCTGATTAAGTGGTGGCTTCTGTCTTGCACAAATGCTTCTCTGAGGGTTACAAAGCTTAAATATCCACCCTCCTCAGGGATAAAGGAATTGCAGTCCTCATCACCGACATTGGGGATGATGGGAGCTGTGGTTCAACATCCCCAAGGTTACTAATACAATTGCTCAATATTGCTTGACTTTTTTTCTCCCAATTTTTAAAATTTTATACTTTTTTAACATGTTTATTTGACGGTTGTAATGTCACCACAGCCATCACCAGTCACATGACCACATTTGCAGCACTATGCTACTGCCTGCATTTACTGCTGTTTGCAGCATGCCTGTGGTCACATGACTGCAATTTATGGCAGTTTTGCTGGAAACCTGTATATTCTTCCATTTTCCAGCAAAACAGCTTCATAGTGAACAATGGGTTTGCCTAATGACCACAGCATTTGCATAACTGCTACAAAAGATGTGAAATTGGGTCCAGTCACTTGGTAACTTGCTTTACATGCATCATGACTTGCAAACAGTTGCAGGGCACAATTACGGTCATAACTCAAGGACTACTTTATACATGTAATGCAGGTGGTCCTTGACTTACAGCCATTTGTTTAGTGACTATTCAAAGTTATAAGGGCACTGGAAAAACTGACTATTTTTCACACTACCACTGCAGCATCCCTGTGGTCATGTGATCAAAATTGGGATGTTTGGCAACTGGCATGTATTTATGAGGTTGCACTATCCCAGGTTCACGTGTTCACCTTTTGTGACCTGATGAGCAAAGTCAGTAGGGAGACCAAATTACCAAACATGTTACTAACTTAACTGCAGTGATTCACTTAACTGGCAAGAAAGGTCATAAAATGGGGCATCTCAACTGTCTTGCTTGGCAGCAGAATTTTGGCTTAATTTTTGTAAATTGAGGACTACCTGTAGTAATCATGCTCATACCTTGGCAAGACTTAAGCAGCTTTGGGGCCACCAGAATGCAAAAATTTCCTATCTTTCATTCTGGAAGAGATGGCACTGCCCCAGATAGACCTGGTATGCAATCTAGGGGTCCTTCTGAATTCATGACTTGCTCAGAGAATAGGAGACAATCACGGCCTTTGCACAGCTTAAGGCTCTTGTCATAGAACATAACATAATAGGGTTGGAAGGAGGCTGGGAGGTCTTCTAGTCTAGGGCTTTTCAACTGGTGGTATGCGTACCACCTGTGGTACATTGGCAGATGGTACACAGCCCTGCCCAGCCCAGGGTAGCGGGGGAGGGAACGAGCCAAAGCGGTGCAGCACAGGACTTGCCGTGAGCAAGTCTTCAGGAAGGCAAAAATCTCTTCAGTTGAGATTCCGCCTCAGAAAATTTTTTTTACATGCAATCAGTAGCCCTAAAATAGCATATGCTGCTCTAAAACAAAAGCAAAAATGAAAACTGAGGGAAGGTATCTAAAAAGTAGAATATTCAACTGAACATTAAAGGTACTACTACTTGGTTTTCTCTCCCATCAAACCTCCAAGGATGAATAACTTGTCTATGTGTTAAAATGACTTTTCCCCGGGAAATCCCCAGGTACATTAGTGATGAAGAGGATAATCCAGAATGTAAGTCCCAGTTGCTCTTACATCGGCTGCAGGAGCAAGCAAAGACTCGGCAGCTGCAAAAACAGGAGCAGAGCTGGCCCACTTCTGGGCAACGAAAGAGATTGGCATCTGGAACACTTGAAGAAGAGACCAACAAGAAATTAAAGCAAACAAGCAAAAAGAAGAAGGCAAGTCAGGAATTTCTTTCAACCCAAAGTCACAGAGAAAAGAACCCAAGACAACATACCTATGGGGCAGAAAGTTTGCCTGAGAAAGGAGATGACTCAGGCAAAAGTAAGAATGGTGGGAATTCCAGAGCACGTCAAGGAAAGATAGAAGCAGTCAAAGGTAAAACAAATTTTGATTTTGGCTGGGTCCTTCTGGGAGTTTTGCCTGGTCAGTTTTCATTTGGGTACCGGTCACTCTGAAGGACTGTTAAAGCTGTTTTTCAGACCATTGAGCAAAGCACTTATTCCATAGTGGGAGTTTCCCTAAGCAAAATGCAACAGACTTTGGGGTTTTACTTCTCTTAGTACAATCTATACTCACCTGTTTTGGTGTGTTCAGTGAACTATTTTCTTCCCTTCTTGCTTGCATCATGTGGCTGTTAATGCAGGCACCTCATTGGTATCAATATTTCTGTTACCAACAGACGGCAAGAACCCATGCCAGCACAAAGTAGCCACCTGCTTTGTTCTTCCTTTAGCTTTTTGGTTTGGTACTTTTTGAAAAGGGTATTTGACAGTCCACCATCAGGTCCAGCAGGAAGGGCATGTTGCAGGACCTGTCTGTGAAGCAATATCATCTGACAGGGCCCAGGAGGAGAGCCTGCCTGCTGGAACATCATTTCCCCTGAGGTTAGACTGACCTTACTGGCCTTCTGGAAAAGCTGAGCTTTGCCATCGGATAGGGGTTAATAATAATAATAATAATAGTAGTAAAGTTGGAAGGGACCTTGGAGGTCATCTAGTCCAATCCCCTGCTCAGGCAGGAAACCCTATACCATTTCGGAAAAATGCAAAATGGGTGTACTGTTAGTGAGTTTGGGGGTCCTTGCCCACCGATTATGTTTTTTTTAAATGGTTTTAATTGTCTTCCTTGTTATATTTTAGTTGTTTTTGTTTGTGTTTTTTTTTTCATTCTCCAGGCTGCTCAGAGTCACATATGTGAGGTGAGTGCCCCTAGAAATTAAACAAGCCAACAAATATTATTAGAAAATATCATTTCTGATATTATTACAAAATGTTCTCTATCTAGAGCCCCTTCCTGCCTAAAAAGACATGCCTTAAGATCAGCCACTTTCTTCCATAAAATATTTCTTGAAAACCAAGTTATTTGTTTTATATCTGTTCCTTTTATCAGGAGATGAAAGTATGTTGGAGAATCATCCGGAAAACAAAGCTACCCCAGCAGAAGAACGAATGGGAGATTTTGGAGACAAAGAGAGCCGAGCCGGAGAGGATCAGATGATGCTGACACCAAATTCAAGAACAGCTTCTCCACCTTCTAGCCTGACTGTCCTTGGTCCTTGTGATCAAAAGAATCTGCACAAGGTAACACGATGATTAACCAACATCAAATCAAATCTTTACTATGGCCATAGGCCAAAAGGAGGATGGGGTATAGTCAGTTAAAAAGCCCAGAAGCTACTTCAGTCTAAAACTGTGAAAGCAAGAGCCACCCCAAAACACCGGCTCCCTCAGAAGGAGAAGACCCGCCAACCCCCCCTCATCCTACACCTAGCTACTTCAGCAAGGAACTTTTCTACTCACCATGGTTCCTGGCAGCTCTGGCTTTTTAATTTGCAGAACTGCTGCCTTCTTGCCCTGGTTTAGGGCAGATTACTTGAGTGTTAGAAACAGAAACCTTGACCGAAGCTATTGAGAGGGGCGGCGGGGGGCTTCCCTTCAGTGGGTGGGTCCAGAGCAGAGGCTGGGCAATCCCTGTCTTCTAGGGGTTCCTGCCTAGGCTGGGCGGTTGAACTCCCAAGTTGAGGACTCTGTATTTAACGCTCAGGTGCCGCCTTTTGTGCCGCGGTGGTTCAGTCAGCCGCAGCTCTTCTGGAGGAAGATCAGAGAGAACCTCGTCCCTCTTCAGGATGTCCCAGCCATCCATCCTAAGATGAGGAAGAAGCTGCACGCCAGTGGCATAGCCTCTCTCTTTCCAGGTATCAGAGTAAGGAGGAGAGTCGGCTACATATTTCTGAAGTTCGTTCACCAAGTTTTCATATTGGAAGTGATGTAATAATAAAATGCTACTTTCACTTTTTGTATATTAAATGTTGCAGTTAGCAGACAACCTTGGGGGAATAATAGTGTTGATCAACTAATGTTTTTTTGCTTTAAGCATAGTATTTTTGGTGAGTGTCATTTGAGGCCATTGTAATGAGCAAGCGGTGTGATGGCCTAGAGGTGAAGATGCTCACCTCCCATTCGGAAAGTTGAGAGTTCAATCCTAGGTAGTGGCAGATGTTTCTCTCTTAGGACGCAAAGAAAAAATATCTCTATGAACACCGAGTGGCGTCAGGAAGGGCATCCAACCAGAAAACAATCAACTCCATCCAGCCACCCTAACTCTACCCTGAGTTAGCAGATTACAGGGTTGTAAAAAAGGAGTTTATTTAAGACCACTATAGCCTTCTTTTAATATTTAATTTGAGAGATATTATGCAGGATGCTTTTCTTATGCTTGCTACAGAATTCAAGAAATAAAATTTTATGTGCAACAAATCTTTGAGCTGCATTAGAATTATCTAAAAATAGACACAGACTTGGACAAAGGCCTCTTTGGTATCTCTTTGTTCTTCAACTTTCTGCCCAAATTCATGAATTGGTTTGTCTGTGAATGAAGAAGGAGGAACCCACTTTGTGTGAACACACCTGTCCCCTGGAGGTCCTTGCCAAACAAGCTCACAGTGAACAGCCCAGCCAAAGAACCGCCAAGGCCACCCCCACCAGTACTGACAGGGGGAGCGACTAGAATATCAGCTGAGCAAACCCCACTCCTTACTGGCACTGAGGATATTACCTAGTTTGGTAATGAAACGTCTGCAAGGAAACGACCAAGCTCAGAGAGCACCAAGGATCTCTCAATCTGGTGTTTATTTGAGTTTTGTTACTGCCTGTGGCAAACACCTAAAATATTTCAAGGTTTTCTTCATATCAATGGATGTTTGAGACATTTTTACCGTTTTTGTGTCTCAAGTGTTCTTCTGTTGGGTGGCAATCCACTAATTCTTCCCACTCTCCTCTTTAGTTCAAGCCAAGGTGATTCCCGCCATCTTGGATTGTGGGCCCAATGGGGGCTTAGCTGGCAGGGGTGGCCATCCCCCAAGCGACATCTGTGTTTCAGCCCCCACCGGCAGTGGCAAGACATTGGCCTTCGTCATTCCAGTGGTGCAGGTGAGCTTCAGCTGGAATCGAGCCCTGCCGGTTGTGTCTAGGGGTGTGCAGGGCATCATCCAGGACCAAAGTGTTCCTCCTCGCCCCCCAGGATCCACAGTATTGAGGTTTAATTTAATTGCAAAGATTTGATTTTCTTACCTTAAAACTGAAAGTTCTGTAGAGAGTTTTAAGTACCTTTAAAAGATGAAATAGAAGAACTGGAGTGAAAGAAATATTGCAGGTCATCTGAAGGGATAATAGCAATTGATAATTGTGGTCAGTGCTCTGGCAGCTCTCAGCTTGTCTTTCAGGACAACATTTGTGTACCTGTGTTTCTCTGAAGAGGGAGTTGGGGTTTTTGCACTTGTTGTGAGGATGTAACAGAACCCTAAGACTGTTTCTAATCTCCTGTTTTTGTTTTGGCAGGCCCTGTTGGACCGCATTATCTGCCATGTACGGGCTCTGGCAGTCTTGCCCACCAAAGAGCTGGCCCAGCAGGTATCATCTGAAGGCAAGAGGGTCTTTGTGGCCCCTGTTTTTTCTCTCCACGCAGAGGAATATTGGAGTGGGTTACCTTGAGAATGGTCCTGGGTGAGAGACAGATTCCAGGAAATGAAGGCGTTGCTACAACCCTGTGCTCACACTGTGTTAGTGCATCTGCAGTGGAGCCTCATAAAACTGGCAGACAGACTTGTGGCTTGTCATGGTTGCCCTGAGAGCCACCTGCCAGGTGACCAAAGTGTAGTGGGAGATGCCGTTGTTATAACTAACGCTCCAATAGAAGAGAATAGGAGGAGCTCAGGACAGTTGAGTTCTTGGTGCTCTCTGAGCTTCTTGATTTCCTCCAGATATTTCATTTCCAGGCTAGATAATGTCATCAGAACCGTTGCACTAAGAAGTTTCCTATGAGATCAGTAAAAACAAATAATACTTTAAAAAACAAATGCAACAAATACTCATTTTTAGAAAGAGAAAAAAATACAATCAAGTTGTCCGTAGAGAGCCTGATTTCCACACATCCTTGGCAGGTCTTCCTTATTTCATAAAGAAGGCAATGCAGGATCAGGGAACCTGCCTTGGAGAGAATCCCACTACAGTACCTCCTGTGGAGAATCTCTGCTATGGCTGCTTCACTGCTACCCCCCCCCCAGGGGAGTCGCAAGCTGGGCTCCCAGATGACTTTGAGGCACAGAGTCTCCTGACCCACAAGCAGAGTGTGGTGGAGAACAACAGCAGCTCTCCTGGCTGCTGGGGATCGTAATGGGATAACAGATGTTCTCTCTGGTCCCGATGACCTCTCTGCAGAGCCTTTGGGTATTCCTAATATTGGGCCTCCCTCTGGCTAAGGATACGTTGGAAGGATGGGATGTGGAGATACCAATCCCTTTACTATTTTCCCTCCCTCCCTGATGTTCACATGCTCATCTTCTCCCTGTTCATCTCTCTTTCAACATTGACTTCTTTTGATAGGTGACTAAAATATTCAACATTTACACTGATGGGACTGGGCTGAAAGTTGTCCAGCTTACTGGACAGAAATCTTTCGCGAAAGAACAAGAGTCCCTTTTTGAGACAACGTAAGTCCACGTTCTCCTGGACCCATGCTTTGATTTAAGCTTATTGCCTTGGCCTGTTATCTTTGAATAAAGAGATACAAAATTTGTCGCCCTCCTAAGAAGGAGTCAACTGCAGCTGTTCTGACCCTGAAAAGAGGACTGTCTGCGAGCGGTAACTAAGGTCCAAGTCTGCTGTATATATGCATTTGTGAATCCTTAATCCTGACATGACCTTGAATGTGTTGCGGTTTCATCTTTGTTGCCCAATTATGTGATATTTTGTGCAATCTCATAGCTGACTGTCCTGTCAATTCCCCATTTGCTCGATGCTTTCTGATTCCTAGAAAGCAGTCAAGGTCTAGGGTGAATCAACATCTGGATGGGACCAAAGCAGCATTTTCAAGAGTGCTGCTACTAATTTTTCTGCCTTGTTGTTTCTGGGCAGGCTGATGGGATTTCGTAGTCTGGCAGACATTGTTGTGGCCACCCCAGGACGCCTGGTGGACCATCTCCAGCAAAGTCCCCAGTTCAACTTGCGAGAGCTTCGTTTTTTGGTGAGGGCGACTCCCAAAAGGGGGTTCTAAATCAAAACCGTGCCTTTGAGCAGCCACTGTGAGAGCACCAGCATTCCTCCTGTGCCCCAAGGCAAAAGGGCTTTCAGGTTTACTTCTGCATATTCACATTTTAGTACGAAACCCATGAGTTCAGCAGCTCCCAGCATATTTCTGCTGGTATTTTCCTTTGATTGGGCCTGTAAATTGGGAGTGAGGGATGTGGCTGGCTGGGCTCTTGTTAGCTCAACAAGCTGCCAGCAGGAGCAGTGAATACCTGGAATCGCAGCTTACGCATCACAAGCTTTGTGCCTAAAGATCCTGCCCTCAAGAAGGAGCAAGCAGCCCAGCCTAAGTTCTTGGCAAGACACACTCACCATGGTTACCGACCTGCCAGACCAGAGTCACATGTCTGAAAGGGTTTTCACGCTTATTTCTGAGTGCAGATCATTGACGAAGCAGATCGCATGATTGACAACATGCACCAGGATTGGCTGCAGCAAGTGATAGAGGCTATGTACCGGGCTGAAAAGGGTTCTGGTCCCGCCGGGCTGTTCAGAAGGGTGCAGCCAATTCCCTCCACAGCAGCCAGGTAAGAGGCTTCTGGGGGGGGGGGTCTGTGTTGAGCCAGAGGTCTCACATCCTGCCACAGAGACCCCCTTGAGGGGAGGGGGGACTGAGCCTGAAGGAACCAACCAAGAGGGTGGCTGGCTTTTCAGGAGGAAGATTCTCCCTTTCCTGTTTCCCTTTTCAGGGCTTACTGCCCCCGGCTCCCTCTGCAGAGGCTCCTCTTCTCAGCCACTCTGACGCAGGACCCCGAGAAGCTGCAGCGGTTGGGCCTCTACCAGCCTCGCCTCTTCACACCAGCTCAGTCTAGGAAAGGGGCCGATGTGCTTGGCTCTCAGCCATGCATCAAGGGAAAGTACATTCTCCCTGAGGGGCTCTCAGTAAGTGTCCCTTCCCTGGATCTTGTCAATGTGCTTTGTGCCCTCAGAAGAGGAGCCCTTGCCCAGGAAAATACGTTTATTTGCTTAACATTGATTCCACACTGTCAGTATAACTGTTCTCAAAACAGTTACTCTAGGATGTCACCAAAAGGAAACTAATAGGGCAGGACCGGAAGCATCTCTTTCGCCGGGACTGGAGACCAGACACCCCTGTTTTCCAGCTTTGAGGGTGGAATAGATACCTGATCAGCTGCTGCAAGAGTTGATAAAGAATGGATAATTCATAAAAGAATTAAATCATTAAAGCGTACTACCGTAAAAAACGTATTTTCATAGATTTGTACACGAAGCAGAACTGCCAAACAGTTACCCTTGTGGCTGCTGGCTGGCCTGGGTAAGCTCTTCAGAATATTCTGCTCTCGAGTGAGGCAGCTTCAGAAGGAGCTAGACTCGCAGGCAAATGCTGCCTTTCCTTCTCTCTAGCAATATTATGTCCCATGCAGCCTGAACTGGAAACCGCTGTTCCTCCTGCATTTCCTGGTAAGACTGAAATTCTCCCAAGTGCTGTGCTTCACCAACAGCAAGGAAACCTCGCACAGGTGAGATTTTATGGCAAAGCTGGTCTTGCATCAGATCAGGCCCCTGGTTGTGGGTCCCAGGTTCCTATTGTCTGACCTAACTGGCAACAACTCTGTGGGTTTTCCAGCAAGGATCTTTGCCAGCTGTACTGATCGTCCTTGTGCAAAAACATTATCTTCCACCCAACCGGTTCCCTCTCCCCCAACTGTCACTTTTCTCTGTCCTCAGACTCTTCCTGCTAATACAGGCCTTTGGTGGAGTGAAGGTAGCTGAGTTTTCTTCAAAGCTGAGCCCAAGCAAAAGGAAGGTGACCTTGAAGGAGTTTGAGCAAGGCAAGATCCAGCTGTGAGTCTCTCTAAAAGGAGTTTTGGCATCATTTGCTCTGAAATGTTACCATGCCCCTGCTGATCCCATCTGCACCAGGGCCTCTTTGCATCAGGATTTAGAGGCTGTGGCCCTAACCATGGCAGTGCTTCTCTTTGGAGGCACTTCAACAATGAGATCTTCTCCGCTACTTTTGCTAACAAAATCTTGCCTTTGCAATATAGTCTCTTAATTCTACATATTTCTGATTCCAATTTCTAACACTCAGATTTATCCATCAGTGCTTTCACTAGCACAGCTGCATTTTTTTTTCCCTTTGGTGGTCCAGTGGTTAGAATGTAGTACTGCAGGCTACTTCTGCTGTCTGCCGGCTGCCAGCAGTTCGGCAGTTCAATTCTGACCGGCTCAAGGTTGTCTCAGCTTTCCATCCTTCCGAGGTTGGTAAAATGAAGAGCCAAATTGTTGGGGTTAAGATGCTGACTCTGTAAACCGTTAGAGAGGGCTGTAAAACACTGTGAAGCAGTATATAAGTCTTAAGTGTTATTGCTATTTTGAGTGCCTTCAAGTCAGCCTCAATCCTGGTGATTGCCTGGACCAATGTCTGCAGTTTTCTTGGCAAGATTTCAGGGGTGCTTTGCTATTGCCTCCTTCCTTGGGCTGAAAGAGCGTGACTGGCCCAAGGTCTCCCAGTTGGCTTTGTGCCCAAAGTGGGACTAAAAGTGACCGTCTCCCGGTCCTAGCCCTCACCACCAATATACCAAACTGGCTCTCACAGCTGGAGTCTGGTCTTGCTTGAATTACTTGTGTCATGGGCAAAGCGATTAATTGCTCTGTGTGTCTCTTCCGGAACAGTTTGGTCAGCACGGACGCCACGGCTCGAGGGATCGATTTTGGTGGTGTGAAATGTGTCATTAGCTACGATGCCCCTCAGTTCATCAGAACCTACATTCACCGGTATTTTTCTCAGAGGAACATGGGGAGGGGGCTTTCTGATCTCTCCCTGAAAGCCCCAAGTTTCACTTTCGGTCTTGGGGAAGGTGAGGGGGTCTGTTCATCTCCTCATCAGATGCCTTTTGTGTTTAGGGTGGGCAGAACTGCTCGTGCTGGGAAGGCAGGCCTGGCTTTCTGCCTGCTCCTCAAGCAACAGGTAGGAGCGGAGACCCTCCTCGGAAGGTGTTCTGCAGCCTCCAGGTACAGCGGGGCCATGTATCACATGCCACTTAAGAGTGGTGCGTGTTAGCGGCACATTCAAGGATGGGTCAGCACAAGGCCCAGGAAAGTGCAGGGCCTGATGTCTGGGCACTCAGTGACTACCTCTTCAGGAGGCTAGGTGCACCTCCACTGAACCTGCTGGTTGCTGGAGAAGGCCACCGTTGCTGCAGTGTGGAGAAGTTGTGATGTTAACCTGCTTTCCTTCTCTAGGAGTATAGGTTCCTAAAGATGCTGAAGGATGCAGGTCTTCCAGAATTGCAGCCACAGCTGATCCAGAGCGCCTCCATTCAGCCTCTCCTCCAGCAGTACGAAGCAGCCCTGGCTGAACTCGCATGGACTGTCAAGGTAGCCTGACTTTTAGAGGGAGGGAAGCTCACATATTGGGGGGTGCACTGGAGTAAATATTCAAGCAGCTGTAAAGCTAGTGTATGTCACTATGTCTTTAGAAGCAAATTCTGTATACCAACTCACAGTATACACAGTTATGGAAAAGTTCCATTTTTATTTTTCAAATCTGTCATTGAGGCAGTTCACATAAAATGTAAAAGAAGTGACCAATGAACAGGGTGCTGAGTCCAGTGTTGCTGACTGCAGCCGTTGACTTCTCTTATAAACAGGCATTTTTAGCAAGCTAAGGATGCCGCCTTCATGGATTGATTAGCAAGTGGCCAGGACAGAGGGTTTTGGGTCTGAGGCCAAGTCTGTGCTTAGTTTGTATCTCCTTTTTGATAATTACCTCAACAAACTGGATGAACAATTTGGTTTGCTCATAGGACCGGCCTTGGTAGCTACGATTATTGTAGGATCCTTGTGATGCCTGTTCCTACCGGAGAGTCCCCTAGTGTGGCACCTTGTCTGCACGTGGCTGATCCGCTTTCTGAAGTTCAGTGGTGGGGAAGGGGCGAGAGGCAGCTGGGAGAAAAGCAGCATCTGGGCACAAGGGGGGCTGGCTCTGATTCAGGCGAAGCTTCGGACTCTCAGCTCCCGTTTCTCAGGCTGGGGCTTAGCCAGAACAAAAGTGAATTGGCTGGTCTTGTCTCTCTGTGAGTGAAAATGTGCAGAAGCCTGAAGAACGTAAGTTCTAATCTCTTCCACAATGGAGGAGGGATAACTGTCCAAACTGCTAGTCCAAGTGCCGAATGAATTAAATAGGCTTAACCTCCTCTTTATTTCAACAGGAGGAGCAGCTTGGAAAGCGATCTTAAAGCAGTCTGGAGAAATGCTTTGTGTATGTCCCAAGATACTGCGAACCAGCAGAACTGGAACTCAGCTCCATGCTCTTGAGGGCACAATGCCCAGAAGCTGATTAGAATTGTGAAGAGCAACTTGAGGGCCAAAGAATGAAGGACACAGCCTGCTCTCACTGCGAAGCAGGAAGAATAATTCTTGGTTCTTTAAAAGCAGATTAATAAAAGCCTTTCTGGGCAGAGGACATGCTCTTTGGTTTTTGCCAGCACAGTGCCACTTTCATGAGCAACCCCAAATAAGTGTGCAGTCGCACAAATTAATATTTGAAATGGCTGAATTGCATCTCCAAAATGTGACACGTTGTGTCTAAGATGTCCTTGTTGATGAAATAGCAATTTGCTAATTCTTGATATCCAATCTGTTTCTAGCTTGTCTGCAATTACAAAAATTACACTACCTGAGTTTATGCATTCTGCTAAGCTGTATGGCAGACCTTCGGGTTCAAGGGAGACAGTGCAGATTTTCTTTTCTTTTTTAAAAAAAACAAGTTTTATTGATTTTTTATTTTAACAAGGTGCTTGAGAAACAACTTGGTGACGGGGTAATCAATTATCCAAAAACAAAATCATACATATATATATAGTACATATCTCAGGTTACATTGTCAAAAATTACTCTTATTTCTAATTAACATTTGATATAATAATAAAGTTGGAAGGGACCTTGGAGGTCATCTAGTCCAACCCCCTGCTCAGGCAAGAAACCCTATACCATTTCAGACAAATAGCTGTCCAGTCTCTTCTTAAAAACTTCCTGTGTTGGAGCATTCACCGCTTCTGGGGACAGGTTCCACTGGTTAAGTGTTCTCACTGTCAGGAAGTTTCTCCTTAATTCTAGGTTGCTTCTCTCGCATCCGTTGCTTCTTGTCCTGCCTTCAGGTGCTTTGGAGAATAGCTTGACTTCCTCTTTGTGGCAGCCCCTGAGATATTGGAACACTGCTATCATGTCCCCCCTCGTCCTTCTCTTCACTAAACTAGGCATACCCAATTCCAGCAACCATTCCTTATATGTTTTAGTCCCCTAATCATCTTTGTTGCTCTTCTCTGTACTCTTTCTAGAGCACAGGTCGGCAACCTGCGGCTCCGGAGCCACATGCGGCTCTTTGAGCCTTCCCCTGTGGCTCCCAGCCTCCTCTGCCTTTGCAGAGAGAGGCAATTGCACTTCCCTGCTTCTCTCTCTCTCTCTCTGGGTGTGTGTGTGTGTGGGTGTGTGTGTGTGTATGTGTAAAAGAGAGTGCACTCACAGTGTTCTCCGAGGAGCTGAAAAGCTTTCTGGGCGGAGCTCCTCCCTTTGCTGCGTCTCTGAAGGAAGCAGGAAGCAGGAAGGGCAGGAGAGAGAGAGCTAGCCCAGCTAGGCTGACTCAGGAATTCTGGGAGTTGAAGTCCATGAGTCATAAAAGAGACGAGGTTGCCTACCCCGGAGGTTGTTGGACAACAGCTTGAAGCTTGCCAGGTGAGCAGCAGACAGGAGGGGGGGGGAGAGAGAGAGAGAGAGTGGGGGAAGAGGAGTGGCAGACCAAGGGCAGATAGAGAGGGAGGGAGAGAGAGACCCTTTTGACATCTAAAATGAAGATAACACTGCATATATCCTTTTTTTACCTGTGTGTGTATGTAATTTTATTCTCTTAAAGCATTCTCTTGGTGATCATTGTTTTAATAGTATGGGTATTCCCAAGAGTCATATTTTTACTTTTATTTTTAATGTGTATATGTGTGTGTGTGTGTGTGTGTATGTGTAAAAGAGAGTGCACTCACAGTGTTCTCCGAGGAGCTGAATACACACACACACACATACACACACACACACACACACACCTATAATAAAGGTAAAGGATATATGCAGTGTTATCTTCATTTTAGATATCAAAAGGGTTTTGCGGCTCCCAGTGTTTTGTTTTTGGTGGGAAACGGGTCTGAGTGTTTTGGGTTGCCTACCCCTGTTCTAGAGTCTCAGCATCTTTTTTACATCGTGGTGACCAAAACTGGATGCAGTATTCTAAGTGTGGCCTTACCAAGGGATTGTAAAGTGGTATTAATACTTCATGTGATCTTGATTGTATCCCTCTGTTAATGCAGCCTAGCACTGTGTTGGCTTTTTTGGCAGCTGCAGCACACTGCTGGCTCATATTGAAGTGATTGTCCACTAGGACTCCGAGGTCCCTCTCACAGTTACTACTATTGAGCAAGGTACCACCTATACTATACCTGTGCATTTGGTTTTTCTTGCCTAAATGTAGGACCTTACTTTTTTCACTATTGAATTTCATTTTGTTAGATAGCACCCAGTGTTCAAGTCTGTCCAGATCCTCCTGTATATTAAACCTGTCTTCTGGAGTGTTGGCTATTCCTGCCAGCTTGGTGTCGTCTGCAAATTTGATTATTTCCCCATCTATCCCCTCGTCCAAATCATTGATGAAGATGTTGAAGAGCACTGGGCCCAGAACAGCCCTGGGGCACCCCACTACACACTTCCCTCCATGTAGATGTGGTTCCATTGAGGACCACACGCGGAGTACAGCCGGTCAGCCAGCTACGATCCATCTGGTGGTGATGCTGTCTAACCCACATTTTTCTATCTTATCAAGTAGTAGGTTATGATCTACTTTATCAAATGCCTTACTGAAGTCCAAGTAAATTATATCCACAGCATTCCTCTGATCCACTAATTTTGTCACTTGGTCAAAGAATGCAATAAGATTTGTCTGGCATGATCTGTTTTTGAGAAACCCATGTTGGCTGTTAGTAATGACTTTGTTTGCCTCTAGGTGTTCGCTGATTTGTTGTTTGATTATCTTTTCCAGAATCCTCCCAGGTATTGAGATCAGGCTGATAGGTCTGTAATTTCCTGGGTCCATTTTTTTTTTCCTTTTTTGAAGATGGGAACTACATCAGCTCTTTTCCAGTCTTCCGGTAGTTTCCCAGTGCTCCAGGAACTTTGAAAAATATAGTTCAATGGTTCTGAGATCACATCTGCCAGTTCCTTGAGAACCTTGGGGTGTAATCCATCTGGTCTTGGTGATTTGAACTCGTCTAGCCTGGACAGGTGCTCACTTACCATTTTCCTGCCTATCTTAACTTGTGTTTCTATTCTGTTTTTTGTGGCACTGTTTTTGGTAGGTTGGTCTGTTTTATCCCTTTATGTAAAGACAGATGCAAAAAACGAGTTAAACAGTTCTGCTTTCTCCCTTGCCGCTTTCACCCACTAATGGACCACTCATTTCCTTCACTTTTTTCTTGTTTTTTACATGTTGAAAGAAGCTTTTTTGTTATTTTTGACTTTGGTCTCAAGCCTTAGTTCATTTTGAGCCTTAGCTTTCCTCACTTCATCTTTGCAGGCTCGGGCTATTTGCTGATATTCTGACTTAGTTATGTGCCCCTCTTTCCACTTTCTATACTTGTCCTTTTTATCTTTCAATTTATCAGAGAGTTCTTTATGCAGCCATGCTGGTTTCTTTTGAGAGCTGTTATTTTTCCTCTTCGTTGGTATTGTACTAGACTGGGCTTTTATTGTCTCATAATAGTTAATAATAGTTAAACTAATGAATTTCTAGCCATAGCAAGCTCAATCAAAGCATTTATCAATCTATCTTTTGTTTATACATATCCATTCAAGAATTCAGTTTTACCTAATTCTTGATTTCTAATTACAGTATTCCAATTTTAACCTTTAACATCCATAATATTCAAATTTCTGGTAACCCAAATTTCCTTTATTTCACTACACAAAAGTTATAATGTCTAAAATATATGTATTAAATATATTCTATTTTTATTTCATAAACATTTTCTAATTCTCATCCTAATACATCACATTCTGCCAACCAGGTTTCCATATCCATGTCTTTAAGTTATCAAATAGGTCTCCTTTCATTCTGGTACATGTTACTTGAATCAAGGGAGACCGCCTAGTCATCAATTTTTCAAAAGAGCTGGTCCATTGATAATCATTAAGTTGTAGCTCTGGTAATTCAAGTCTCGGTATTTGTTCTAGTGTCTTTATCTTCAATTCGGTCTGGTCCTTCCTCAGGTTTCTTCTGGTTTAAGTAAAAGGTCATGTCCAATTTTATAGTTATTGATTGTTTATCTAGATTTTCAATGTGCTGTCCTTGTTGATCTTTAGCATCCTGTTTTGGTATTACTTTGTTCCACTTCTTTTACTTTCTGAGTTGTAGGTTCTTTGGTTGCAATCAGGATTTGGTTGTCAGAATTTTCAATATATTGTTGTTGTTCCTTAAAGTCCTCTGTCTTAGTATTGATTTCTCCCGCTTCTGTTGTTTTCTGAGTTATAAGTTCTTTAGTTAGAATCTAACTAAATTTCAGTTTGTAGGTTCAAGCTGGCGCCTTTGTCTTTGTCTTTCAGTCTGGATTTAATTACCTCAGTAGCTTCAAGGATTTTTTCAAGTATTAGTGTCAACGCTGCAAATATTGTATATTCTAACCCCATAATTACCAGACAATTCTACATATTGTCAAAAGCAAGAATATACAATATTTTCAGCATTGACAATTAGTTTATAGTCAAGGAAAGTTTGTTGCTGGTCCCCCTCCATTTCTGAAATGTTTATAGATAGTCCTTTAGTGGAGGCTAGCTTTTTAAGCAAGAGTTAGTGAATGTTCACCTCCACAGTTCTTAAGAGCCAGTTTCAGCTCCCAGTTGCAGCTTTTTATCTTTAGATAGTGCCAAGGACAGATCTAGGTTGTAAACAGGTCTCTTTATCAGTGATGTTCACTTGCTATACCAGGCTATCACCACAAGATGTCCTCAGTGACCTTTAAAATCCTTTTCAAAAAGGCTAGGCTTTTATCCAGTTTAGGTTCTTTTCTTGGGGGGGGGGGTTCAATTAGTTAAGATAGCCAGTTTCCGTGAAAGTAGGAACTTTTTGGGTCACCAGATCTAAGAAGCATGTAAGTCCAATTACTTAAATATATTTTTCAGGGCTTTATCTCCCCTATGTAGGCAACCACCGCCATTTTAGAAGGTGGGAGAAAGACGTTCCCTTCCCTCTCTCCTCAGGGGGAAGCAATTTCAGAGAGCTTTTGCAGGAAAAAGTACTTGGGGTAAAAAGAATGTAGGATCTCATCCAGTTCCTCCGCGGTGCTTTCAAGTGCTTAGCTGTAAGTTTGGCCTCGGCTGGAAACGGCATTAATGATGGGCTATGTGAGTGGCCAATCTTTTCTCTGTCGA